GGATGACGTGCAAATGAATATGCACCAACACACTCCCCCTCAGACTGTCGGCTTGTTTCGCCGTCTCTAGTTCAAGGACATTCCCGCCATCCTCGCACAGCGCCAGTGTGGCTCTTCAGCTAGCCGCTTGGTAAGGAAGTCGGCTGGCTGTTGCTGAGTTTTCACGTAGATCGGATCCAGTGTCCCAAGCTTCACCTCCTTCCGCAGCCAATGCCACATGATCCTCATGTGCTTGTTCAACCCATGAAGAACTGCATTGCGTGCCATGGCAATGGCTCCCTTGCTATCACTGAACAGAGGTGTCGCACAAGTCTGTTCATGGCCGATCTCCTTCAAGAGCCTCCTTAGCCAGATGATTTCTTTTGCCGCATGAAACATCGCCATGTACTCAGATTCCACTGAAGATAGTGCCGTCTCAGACTGCTTCTTGGACCTCCAACTTACAGGCCCACCTCCCACCATGCAGATGTATCCACCAACTGATGATGAATCCTCATGCTCAGAAGCCCACGTGGCATCAGCAAAACAGGAAAGGAACACCTTTCCTTCTCCGAGCTGCTCCCCCTTCTCTTTGAGGACTTCAATTCTTTTTTGACTCTTGTCATGTTCTTGACTCTTGAGCAGAGGCTGAATACTGTACTCCCACTGTAGGGTATGACTTGAGGTAGCGCACCACTCTCTTCGCTGCACCACACTGCTCTTCTGTTGGATTTTGCACTACTCGAGCCAGCTGTCCCACAGCAAAGCTGATGTCAGGCCGAGTATGCACAGCAGCGTAGAGTAGGTTCCCGACCATGGATTGGAATTGCCTCTGGTCTTCACTCTCAACTCCTTCTCCTTCAGCTGCCTTTATGAGTTTGAACTCGGAAGGCAAAGGTGTGACCACTTCCCGTTCTTCCTGCAGAGAGTACTTCTCAGCCAAGGTGTTGATGTACTGTCCCTGATGCAGTTTGAGCCAGCCACGTTCAGTATCCCGCTCAATGTGCATTCCCAGGTAGTACCTTGCCTCTCTAAGTGACTTGCACTTGAACTGCTCTGTGAGCTTCCGCTGCACCCCATCGATCTCCTTGTCACTGCTGCTGAAGAGCAGGATGTCATCCACGTACACCAGCAGAAGCACAAGTGACTCCCCCTCTCCCATCAGGAATAGGCTCTCGTCGCATGCACTCGCACGGAATCCAATCCCTTCCAGTGCACTGGCCAGCCTGTTGTACCAGCATCTCGGGGCCTGCTTCAAGCCATAGATGGCCTTGTTAAGTTTGCAGACACGACCGGTTCCATCCTCATAGCCAGGTGGTTGAACCATGTACACCTCCTCTTCCACAATGCCGTACAGAAAAGCGGTTACGATGTCCATCTGCTTCACCTTCCATTTGCGCACAGCAGCTACCGCCAGCAGCACACGTAGCGTTGGAGACTTAGCAGTTGGGGCAAACACTTCTTTGTAATCTTCCTTCTCTTTCTGCTGAAACCCCTTTGCCACCAGCCTGCTCTTGTAAACTGATGGCTCTCCTTTCTCATCCGTCTTGATTTTTGCCAGCCACTTGCACTGTATTGCCTTCTTCCCATTTGGCAAGTACACCAGGTCCCATGTGTGATTCTCCATCTGGCTGTTGTACTCTGCATCTCTTGAAACGAGCCACTTCCCCCGTTGAGGCCCGGCTAGCGCATGATCCATGCTCGGAGGTTGTATTGGTGCGTAAAAGCAGTATGCAGGCTCCTCGTCATCTGACTCTTGGTCATCACCCAAGAACAGCACTGCATCTTCGCCTTGAGCTTGTTCCTGCTGCTCAGTTGTGGCTCCTCCACTTGTGGAGCTCAACAGCTTTCTCGTTGCCATTCTGGTACGTGCAGGGTAGATGGTTGGATTTACCCATTCTTTCACCTTCACCCAATCCTTTGTCCCCCCACCAATCTGTTTCATTCGCTTTGGCAGACTTGGTGTTTTGGAAGCCTCTTGCTGCTGCTGCTCCGGATCATTGACTTCAGCATCAGCTGCAATATCCTCATTGCTTCCTTCATCAGTACCGCTTGCCGTTGGCGCAGTGACTTCGCTGTCCGCAGGTTCGGACAGATCGAAGTGCATAGTGATCTCTTCCAGCTGCTGGGTGACCCTTGCCTCCGGCTGCTTCTCCCACTTGCCATACATGATGTTCTCCACAAATTTGACATCCCGACTGTCAAACAGCACATTCTTTGAGGGCTCCCAGAGTAGCCACCCCTTGCTCTCTGCCGCAAGCCCAAGGTGCACACACCAAAGTGCAGATGCTCCAAGCTTTGTCCTGTACGGTTTAGGGACATGCGCCACTGCCATGCATCCGAACACTCGAAGCATGTCCACTGGAGGCTTCTTTCCAAGCCACCTCTCCAGCGGCACCCACATATCATCAGCCACCTTTGTGAGTACGCGGTTCCTTGCCACTGTAGCATGCCTCACCGCATGAGGCCACATGGAGTTCCCCAGCCCTGATTCGATCAGCAGCGCTCGCGCAGTTTCCAGGATGGTCCTATTAGCCCTCTCAGCAACGCCATTTGACTGAGGGGTATAGGACGTCGTTAGCTGATGCTCAATGCCTTGTTTCTTGAGCCACGCAGTCAGATCTCCTCCTAGAAACTCTCCACCTCGATCGGTTCTGATGCTCTTGCATGGGTGCCCAGATTGTCGCTCGACGAACGGCAGCCAATCATCTCGTATTGTTGAGGCAGCATGATCCTTCTGCTTCAACGGGTATGCCCACATCAGCCGACTCCAGTCATCAACTATTGTCAGGAAGTACCTTTCCCCCTTACTTCCTCGGACTGGAAAAGGTCCTACCAGGTCCATGTGCACCAGTTCCAGTGCTGCCTTGCTTTTCCCAGCTACGCCGTGAAAGGGGAACCGTGTGAACTTGCTCAGCAGACACGTCTCGCACTTGGCATCATTTGGTTGCCCAGAAAGCTTGAGCCCCTTTACTGCTTCTTCCTTATGCAGTTGCTGCAGCAATGGCATAGCCACATGCCCTAGACGCCTGTGTGCGGTTTCCCAATCAGTCTCCCCCGACCTTGCAGAAACCGTCACTCCTGCAGCACTAACTGCATTACACTCCCCCTGGACTCCAGATCCCGCCTTTACTTCTCCCAACTCCTTCTTTGTTGATTCCCATATCAGTGCAGGGATCTGCCACATGGATCTGAAGACATCTCTGCTTTCGTGTAAATCCCATAACACACGATCTCCTCGCAGCCCCTTGAATGTTTTGGATCCATTGGTGGTGGTGCTGACTCCGGCCTGGCCTAGCTTGCGCAGCGATATCAGATTGGCCTTCAGCCCCGGTACGAGTAACACGTCCTTCAGCACAACCAGTCCACCATCAGGTGCTCTGAATGCAGCTCGACCAACTCCAGCGACCTTCACTGCATGTCCGGATGCTGAGCGCACTTCAGAGATAGGAGGCGCTCCCACAGCATCCAGCAAGTCCTTGCGTGGTGTCATTGTCCATGCAGCACCAGAGTCCATGACCCACATGTCAAGCGGGTGCAGTTCCTCTCCAGCCCTTGCAACAGCTGTGCCACTGTCATCTTTGTCATACACATGGTAGAACTGTCCAGTATTCCTCTCCTCATTTCCCATTCCTCTGTCATCCTTGGAGGTTTCTTCAGCAGGATCAGCTACCATGTTGACACCTCCATGTGGTTGCTTTCCTCCATTCCCCTTCTGCGATTGGTTCCAAGGGGTCCACCAGTCGGGCTTGGTAGGGCAGCGAAACCATGGATGCCCTTCTTCCTTGCAATACCAGCACTCTCCCCTCAAGCGTGGTTCACTGTTGTCATTGTTGGAGTGACCACCTCTTCCTCTTGCACCAGCGCCACCACGCCCCCGCTGGTTCCAAGTCCCGCGACCACCTTGGCTGTGGTAAGAGCGACCGCGATTGCCACGCCCTCGATCCCTCCATGTCCCTTGCATGGCATAGCCGCTGGTGCTGTCATCACCTCCGCGCAGTGTATAGCGACGAAAATCTTCTTCCAGAATCTTGGTGCGAATCCACTCCAATGTCCATTGACTTTGGTTTTGTGGCAAGCTGAGTCCGCTTATAAATTGCAGCCAAGACTCCGGCAGCAGGCTGAGCATCTTGAGACACTTTGTCTGCTCTGGGTACGTGATGCCTGCAATCGCCAATTTCGCGTAGAGTTCCCTCATCTTGTCCAGTACGGGCTGCACAGGTTCATTCTCGCTCAACCGCAGCATGGACAGCTCCCGATCCAGCATGAGAGAAGCGGCAACCGATGTCGGGGCGTGCAGGTCCTTGAGCACTGCCCATGCCTTGGGCCCACAATCAATTTCCGGTAGCAGATGCATGATGTGATGCCTCTGGTTCAGCTCCAAGCTTTGTGACAGTAGATAATACCCAGCAGATGAACGTTCATCCCAGTCCGCTTGCTCTGCCATTTCCTTTGGCCTTGGCTCCGTTCCAATCATCAGCTTCAAGAGGCCAATTTGTCGAAAGTAGAGCTGCATCTTCCATGCCCAATCATCATAGCCATCTCCATAGAACTTCTCAATGGTGAAGTTCTTCAGTACCTCCTTAAGCAGTGACCCCTGGCTTGTACGCGCTCCCCTTTGCGCTGCAATGCCAGAATCTTGGGTTGAGCTGCCTCCTTGGACTGAAGTATCACCTCCACCAGAGTCCTCCTTATCTCCCATCGTATTTTAGGTCCCAAATGCGTGATAATAGGCTCTGATACCACTTGTTGGTTAGAGAAGGCTATAAGCAGATGATTCAATGGCTCCTTGGAAATTTCTGCAGCACTTCGTTATGACGCCCAGAAAACTCGCGACCTTCGAATAGCTATATCCAAAACTCCAATCGGTGAAACGATATGAAAATCGGATATGTTGTAGCTGGCAGCGTCAGCTTTCCACTGAAAGTTGAATCACTCGATTCCGTAGCTTAACGAGTGAGCGCGTTTGGCGCACTGGGGGGTAATCTGCCCTAGGAGAAGTTGACAATCCTCAGAGTCACTATAATTGAAGCTTACAAGATCAGAGGCATGATAGAAAAGGCATTGAAGCACAGTTGGAAGGTGGGGTAGGAAGGGAAGGATGAAACGGAAGGACCCTGGAGGCCCATGGTCAAGAACATGACAAGAGTCAAAGTTTTGACTCCCCATCCTCAGGTTCAGCCAGCCTGGCAAGACAAAATTCACACTGTGCCAGGTTGGCCTCCAAACCCCAAATGCTGCAGCTGCAAGGTGGGGACAAAAGTCCTACACATGCTGGTCCCTCCTCGTTATAGGGCTCTCCAACTTTGGTGTAGCAGCTGACAAGGACTTCCAATGAGTTGTAACAAATCCATCAAACATTTCTTCGTAACTTCTTCATATGTGCTCCGATTCCAACAATTCTTGGCTCGTTGGAATGTGCTCGATGTCATGCACAATCCAAGCACATCTGCACAAGCACAAGATGAACATGCAAAGACATGCAAACCCAACAAACCATACAAACAACGTAGCACACAAAACACATGCAAACGAAATGATGCGAACAGACGACAGGATGACGTGCAAATGAATATGCACCAACATGCCCTGCACATGAACAGCATGCACTGCACATGAACACCATGCACTGCACATGAACACCATGCACTGCACACGAACACCATGCACTGCACATGAATAGCATGCACTGCACATGAACAGCATGCACTGCACATGAACAGCATGCACTGCACATGAACAGCATGCCCTGCACATGAACACCATGCACTGCACATGAACACCATGCACTGCACATGAACAGCATGCCCTGCACATGAACAGCATGCACTGCACATGAACAGCATGCCCTGCACACGAGCATCATGCACTGCACATGAACACCATGCACTGCACATGAACAGCATGCACTGCACATGAACAGCATGCACTGCACATAAACAGCATGCACACTGCACATGAACAGCATGCACTGCACATGAACAGCATGCCCTGCACATGAACAGCATGCACTGCACATGAACACCATGCACTGCACATGAACACCATGCACTGCACATGAACAGCATGCACTGCACATGAACAGCATGCACTGCACATAAACAGCATGCACTGCACATGAACAGCATGCACTGCACATGAACAGCATGCCCTGCACATGAACAGCATGCACTGCACATGAACAGCATGCACTGCACATGAACACCATGCACTGCACATGAACAGCATGCCCTGCACATGAACAGCATGCACTGCACATGAACACCATGCACTGCACATGAACAGCATGCCCTGCACATGAACAGCATGCACTGCACATGAACACCATGCACTGCACATGAACAGCATGCACTGCACATCAACAGCATGCACTGCACATAAACAGCATGCACTGCACATGAACGGCATGCACTGCACATGAACAGCATGCCCTGCACATGAACAGCATGCACTGCACATGAAGACCATGCACTGCACATGAACACCATGCACTGCACACGAACACCATGCACTGCACATGAACAGCATGCACTGCACATGAACAGCATGCACTGCACATGAACAGCATGCACTGCACATGAACAGCATGCCCTGCACATGAACACCATGCACTGCACATGAACAGCATACACTGCACATGAACAGCATGCCCACTGCACATGAAACAGCATGCACTGCACATGAACAGCATGCACTGCACATGAACAGCATGCACTGCACATGCACAATGAACAGCATGCACTGCACATGAAACAGCATGCACTGCCACGAATGAACAGCATGCACTGCACATGAACAGCATGCACCTGCACATGAACAGCATGCACTGCACATGCAACGACATGAACAGCCATGCACTGCACATGAACAGCATGCACTGCACATGAACACAGCATGCACTGCACATGAACAGCATGCACTGCACATGAACACGCATGCACTGCACATGAACAGCATGCACTGCACATGAACAGCCATGCACTGCACATGAACAGCATGCACTGCACATGAACAGGCATGCACTGCCACATGGAACAGCATGCACTGCACATGAACAGCATGCACCTGCACATGAACAGCATGCACTGCACATGAACAGCATGCCCTGCACATGAACAGCATGCACTGCACATGAACACCATGCACTGCACATGAACAGCCATGCACTGCACATGAACAGCATGCCACTGCACATGAACAGCATGCACTGCACATGAAACAGCATGCACTGCACATGAACAGCATGCCCCTGCACATGAACAGCATGCCCTGCACATGAACAGCATGCACTGCACATGAACAGCATGCACTGCACATGAACAGCATGCACTGCACATGAACAGCATGCACTGCACATGAACCATGCCTGCCATGAACACCTGCCCTGCACATGAACAGCATGCACTGCACATGAACAGCATGCCTGCACATGAAACAGCAATGCACCTGCACATGAACACCATGCACTGCACATGAACACCATGCACTGCACATGAACAGCATGCACTGCACATGAACACATGCCCTGCACATGAACAGCATGCACTGCACATGAACACGCATGCACTGCACATGAACAGCATGCACTGCACATGAACAGCAATGCACTGCACATGAACAGCATGCCCTGCACATGAACACCCTGCCCTGCACATGAACAGCATGCACTGCACATGAACACGCATGCCTGCACATGAACAGCATGCAGCTGGCACATGAACACATGCACTGCACATGAACACATGCCTGCACATGAACAGCATGCACTGCACATGAACAGCAATGCACTGCACATGAACAGCATGCACTGCACATGAACAGCAGACATGCCACTGCACATGAACACCATGCACTGCACATGAACAGCATGCACTGCACATGAACAGCATGCACTGCACATGAACAGCATGCACTGCACATGAACAGCATGCACTGCACATGAACACATGCACTGCACATGAACAGCATGCACTGCACATGAACAGCATGCACTGCACATGAACAGCATGCACTGCACATGAACACATGCACTGCACATGAACAGCATGCACTGCACATGAACAGCATGCACTGCACATGAACACATGCACTGCACATGAACACATGCACTGCACATGAACAGCATGCACTGCACATGAACAGCATGCACTGCACATGAACAGCATGCACTGCACATGAACACATGCACTGCACATGAACAGCATGCACTGCACATGAACAGCATGCCTGCACATGAACAGCATGCACTGCACATGAACAGCATGCACTGCACATGAACACATGCACTGCACATGAACAGCATGCACTGCACATGAACAGCATGCACTGCACATGAACAGCATGCACTGCACATGAACAGCATGCACTGCACATGAACAGCATGCACTGCACATGAACAGCATGCACTGCACATGAACAGCATGCACTGCACATGAACAGCATGCCCTGCACATGAACAGCATGCACTGCACATGAACAGCATGCACTGCACATGAACAGCATGCACTGCACATGAACACCATGCACTGCACATGAACAGCATGCACTGCACATGAACACCATGCACTGCACATGAACAGCATGCACTGCACATGAACAGCATGCACTGCACATGAACAGCATGCACTGCACATGAACAGCATGCACTGCACAAACACAGCATGCACTGCACATGAACAGCATGCACTGCACATGAACAGCATGCCCTGCACATGAACAGCATGCACTGCACATGAACAGCATGCACTGCACATGAACAGCATGCACTGCACATGAACAGCATGCACTGCACATGAACAGCATGCACTGCACATGAACAGCATGCCTGCACATGAACAGCATGCCCTGCACATGAACAGCATGCACTGCACATGAACAGCATGCCTGCACATGAACAGCATGCCTGCACATGAACACCATGCACTGCACATGAACAGCATGCACTGCACATGAACAGCATGCACTGCACATGAACACCATGCACTGCACATGAACAGCATGCACTGCACATGAACAGCATGCACTGCACATGAACAGCATGCACTGCACATGAACAGCATGCACTGCACATGAAACAGCATGCACTGCACATGAACAGCATGCACTGAACAGCATGCCCTGCACATGAACAGCATGCACTGCACATGAACAGCATGCACTGCACATGAACACCATGCACTGCACATGAACAGCATGCACTGCACATGAACAGCATGCACTGCACATGAACAGCATGCACTGCACATGAACAGCATGCCCTGCACATGAACAGCATGCACTGCACATGAACAGCATGCACTGCACATGAACAGCATGCACTGCACATGAACAGCATGCACTGCACATGAACAGCATGCACTGCACATGAACAGCATGCACTGCACATGAACAGCATGCACTGCACATGAACAGCATGCACTGCACATGAACAGCATGCCCTGCACATGAACAGCATGCACTGCACATGAACACCATGCACTGCACATGAACAGCATGCACTGCACATGAACAGCATGCACTGCACATGAACAGCATGCACTGCACATGAACAGCATGCACTGCACATGAACAGCATGCACTGCACATGAACACCATGCACTGCACATGAACAGCATGCACTGCACATGAACAGCATGCCCTGCACATGAACAGCATGCACTGCACATGAACAATGCACTGCACATGAACACCATGCCTGCACATGAACAGCATGCACTGCACATGAACAGCATGCCCTGCACATGAACAGCATGCACTGCACATGAACAGCATGCACTGCACATGAACAGCATGCACTGCACATGAACAGCATGCACTGCACATGAACAGCATGCACTGCACATGAGCATGCCTGCACATGAACAGCATGCACTGCACATGAACACCATGCACTGCACATGAACACCATGCACTGCACATGAACAGCATGCACTGCACATGAACAGCATGCACTGCACATGAACAGCATGCACTGCACATGAACAGCATGCCCTGCACATGAACACCATGCACTGCACATGAACAGCATGCACTGCACATGAACAGCATGCCCTGCACATGAACAGCATGCACTGCACATGAACAGCATGCACTGCACATGAACACCATGCACTGCACATGAACAGCATGCACTGCACATGAACAGCATGCACTGCACATGAACAGCATGCACTGCACATGAACAGCATGCCCTGCACATGAACAGCATGCACTGCACATGAACACCATGCACTGCACATGAACAGCATGCACTGCACATGAACAGCATGCACTGCACATGAACACCATGCACTGCACATGAACAGCATGCACTGCACATGAACAGCATGCACTGCACATGAACAGCATGCACTGCACATGAACAGCATGCACTGCACATGAACAGCATGCACTGCACATGAACAGCATGCCTGCACATGAACACCATGCCCTGCACATGAACAGCATGCACTGCACATGAACAGCATGCACTGCACATGAACAGCATGCACTGCACATGAACACCATGCACTGCACATGAACAGCATGCACTGCACATGAACAGCATGCACTGCACATGAACACCATGCACTGCACATGAACACCATGCACTGCACATGAACAGCATGCACTGCACATGAACAGCATGCACTGCACATGAACAGCATGCCCTGCACATGAACAGCATGCCCTGCACATGAACAGCATGCACTGCACATGAACAGCATGCCCTGCACATGAACAGCATGCGCTGCACATGAACACCATGCACTGCACATGAACACCATGCACTGCACATGAACAGCATGCACTGCACATGAACAGCATGCACTGCACATGAACAGCATGCACTGCACATGAACAGCATGCACTGCACATGAACAGCATGCACTGCACATGAACAGCATGCACTGCACATGAACAGCATGCACTGCACATGAACAGCATGCACTGCACATGAACAGCATGCACTGCACATGAACAGCATGCACTGCACATGAACAGCATGCACTGCACATGAACAGCATGCACTGCACATGAACAGCATGCACTGCACATGAACAGCATGCACTGCACATGAACACCATGCCCTGCACATGAACAGCATGCACTGCACATGAACAGCATGCCCTGCACATGAACAGCATGCACTGCACATGAACACCATGCACTGCACATGAACACCATGCCTGCACATGAACAGCATGCACTGCACATGAACAGCATGCCTGCACATGAACAGCATGCACTGCACATGAACAGCATGCCCTGCACATGAACAGCATGCACTGCACATGAACAGCATGCACTGCACATGAACAGCATGCACTGCACATGAACAGCATGCCCTGCACATGAACACCATGCCCTGCACATGAACAGCATGCACTGCACATGAACAGCATGCACTGCACATGAACAGCATGCACTGCACATGAACAGCATGCACTGCACATGAACAGCATGCACTGCACATGAACAGCATGCCCTGCACATGAACACCATGCCCTGCACATGAACAGCATGCACTGCACATGAACAGCATGCACTGCACATGAACAGCATGCACTGCACATGAACACCATGCACTGCACATGAACAGCATGCACTGCACATGAACAGCATGCACTGCACATGAACACCATGCACTGCACATGAACACCATGCACTGCACATGAACAGCATGCACTGCACATGAACAGCATGCCTGCACATGAACAGCATGCACTGCACATGAACAGCATGCCTGCACATGAACAGCATGCACTGCACATGAACACCATGCACTGCACATGAACAGCATGCACTGCACATGAACAGCATGCCCTGCACATGAACACCATGCCCTGCACATGAACAGCATGCACTGCACATGAACAGCATGCACTGCACATGAACAGCATGCACTGCACATGAACAGCATGCACTGCACATGAACAGCATGCACTGCACATGAACAGCATGCACTGCACATGAACACCATGCCTGCACATGAACAGCATGCACTGCACATGAACAGCATGCACTGCACATGAACAGCATGCACTGCACATGAACACCATGCACTGCACATGAACAGCATGCACTGCACATGAACAGCATGCACTGCACATGAACACCATGCACTGCACATGAACACCATGCACTGCACATGAACAGCATGCACTGCATGAACAGCATGCACTGCACATGAACAGCATGCCCTGCACATGAGCATCATGCCCTGCACATGAACAGCATGCACTGCACATGAACAGCATGCCCTGCACATGAACAGCATGCGCTGCACATGAACACCATGCACTGCACATGAACACCATGCCCTGCACATGAACAGCATGCACTGCACATGAACAGCATGCCCTGCACATGAACAGCATGCACTGCACATGAACAGCATGCTCTGCACATGAACACCATGCCCTGCACATGAACAGCATGCACTGCACATGAACACCATGCACTGCACATGAACAGCATGCACTGCACATGAACAGCCATGCACTGCACATGAACAGCATGCACGGCACATGAACAGCATGCCCTGCACATGAACAGCATGCACTGCATAAACACCATGCACTGCACATGAACACGCATGCCACTGCACATGAACAGCATGCACTGCACATGACACCACGCCATGAACAGCATGCACTGCACATGACACCATGCACTGCACATGAACAGCATGCACTGCACATGCACAGCATGCACTGCACATGAACAGCATGCACTGCAAATGAACAGCATGCACTGCACATGAACAGCATGCACTGCACATGAACAGCATGCCCTGCACATGAACAGCATGCACTGAACATTGGCGCAGTGACTTCGCTGTCCGCAGGTTCGGACAGATCGAAGTGCATACTGATCTCTTCCAGCTGCTGGGTGACCCTTGCCTCCAACTGCTTCTCCCACTTGCCATACATGATGTTCTCCACAAATTTGACATCCCGACTGTCAAACAGCACATTCTTTGAGGGCTCCCAGAGTAGCCACCCCTTGCTCTCTGCCGCAAGCCCAAGGTGCACACACCAAAGTGCAGATGCTCCAAGCTTTGTCCTGTACGGTTTAGGGACATGCGCCACTGCCATGCATCCGAACACTCGAAGCATGTCCACTGGAGGCTTCTTTCCAAGCCACCTCTCCAGCGGCACCCACATATCATCAGCCACCTTTGTGAGTACGCGGTTCCTTGCCACTGTAGCATGCCTCACCGCATGAGGCCACATGGAGTTCCCCAGCCCTGATTCGATCAGCAGCGCTCGCGCAGTTTCCAGGATGGTCCTATTAGCCCTCTCAGCAACGCCATTTGACTGAGGGGTATAGGACGTCGTTAGCTGATGCTCAATGCCTTGTTTCTTGAGCCACGCAGTCAGATCTCCTCCTAGAAACTCTCCACCTCGGTCGGTTCTGATGCTCTTGCATGGGTGCCCAGATTGTCGCTCGACGAACGGCAGCCAATCATCTCGTATTGTTGAGGCAGCATGATCCTTCTGCTTCAACGGGTATGCCCACATCAGCCGACTCCAGTCATCAACTATTGTCAGGAAGTACCTTTCCCCCTTACTTCCTCGGACTGGAAAAGGTCCTACCAGGTCCATGTGCACCAGTTCCAGTGCTGCCTTGCTTTTCCCAGCTACGCCGTGAAAGGGGAACCGTGTGAACTTGCTCAGCAGACACGTCTCGCACTTGGTATCATTTGGTTGCCCAGAAAGCTTGAGCCCCTTTACTGCTTCTTCCTTATGCAGTTGCTGCAGCAATGGTATGGCCACATGCCCTAGACGCCTGTGTGCGGTTTCCCAATCAGTCTCCCCCGACCTTGCAGAAACCGTCACTCCTGCAGCACTAACTGCATTACACTCCCCCTGGACTCCAGAACCCGCCTTTACTTCTCCCAACTCCTTCTTTGTTGATTCCCATATCAGTGCAGGGATCTGCCACATGGATCTGAAGACATCTCTGCTTTCGTGTAAATCCCATAACACACGATCTCCTCGCAGCCCCTTGAATGTTTTGGATCCATTGGTGGTGGTGCTGACTCCGGCCTGGCCTAGCTTGCGCAGCGATATCAGATTGGCCTTCAGCCCCGGTACGAGTAACACGTCCTTGAGCACAACCAGTCCACCATCAGGTGCTCTGAATGCAGCTCGACCAACTCCAGCGACCTTCACTGCATGTCCGGATGCTGAGCGCACTTCAGAGATTGGAGGCGCTCGCACAGCATCCAGCAAGTCCTTGCGTGGTGTCATTGTCCATGCAGCACCAGAGTCCATGACCCACATGTCAAGCGGGTGCAATTCCTCTCCAGCCCTTGCAACAGCTGTGCCACTGTCATCTTTGTCACACACATGGTAGAACTGTCCAGCATTCCTCTCCTCATTTCCCATTCCTCTGTCATCCTTGGAGGTTTCTTCAGCAGGATCAGCTACCATGTTGGCACCTCCATGTGGTTGCTTTCCTCCATTCCCCTTCTGCGATTGGTTCCAAGGGGTCCACCAGTCGGGCTTGGTAGGGCAGCGAAACCATGGATGCCCTTCTTCCTTGCAATACCAGCACTCTCCCCTCAAGCGTGGTTCACTGTTGTCATTGTTGGAGTGACCACCTCTTCCTCTTGCACCAGCGCCACCACGCCCCCGCTGGTTCCAAGTCCCGCGACCACCTTGGCTGTGGTAAGAGCGACCGCGATTGCCACGCCCTCGATCCCTCCATGTCCCTTGCATGGCATAGCCGCTGGTGCTGTCATCACCTCCACGCAGTGTATAGCGACGAAAATCTTCTTCCAGAATCTTGGTGCGAATCCACTCCAATGTCCATTGACTTTGGTTTTGTGGCAAGCTGAGTCCGCTTATAAATTGCAGCCAAGACTCCGGCAGCAGGCTGAGCATCTTGAGACACTTTGTCTGCTCTGGGTACGTGATGCCTGCACTCGCCAATTTCGCGTAGAGTTCCCTCATCTTGTCCAGTACGGGCTGCACAGGTTCATTCTCGCTCAACCGCAGCATGGACAGCTCCCGATCCAGCATGAGAGAAGCGGCAACCGATGTCGGAGCGTGCAGGTCCTTGAGCACTGCCCATGCCTTGGGCCCACAATCAATTTCCGGTAGCAGATGCATGATGTGATGCCTCTGGTTCAGCTCCAAGCTTTGTGACAGTAGATAATACCCAGCAGATGAACGTTCATCCCAGTCCGCTTGCTCTGCCATTTCCTTTGGCCTTGGCTCCATTCCAATCATGAGCTTCAAGAGGCCAATTTGTCGAAAGTAGAGCTGCATCTTCCATGCCCAATCATCATAGCCATCTCCAGAGAACTTCTCAATGGTGAAGTTCTTCAGCACCTCCTTAAGCAGTGACCCCTGGCTTGTACGCGCTCCCCTTTGCGCTGCAATGCCAGAATCTTGGGTTGAGCTGCCTCCTTGGACTGAAGTATCACCTCCACCAGAGTCCTCCTTATCTCCCATCGTATTTTAGGTCCCAAATGCGTGATAATAGGCTCTGATACCACTTGTGGGTTAGAGAAGGCTATAAGCAGATGATTCAATGGCTCCTTGGAAATTTCTGCAGCACTTCGTTATGACGCCCAGAAAACTCGCGACCTTCGAATAGCTATATCCAAAACTCCAATCGGTGAAACGATCTGAAAATCGGATATGTTGTCGCTGGCAGCGTCAGCTTTCCACTGAAAGTTGAATCACTCGATTCCGTAGCTTAACGAGTGAGCTATGGCGTTCGGCGCACTGGGGGGTAATCTGCCCTAGGAGAAGTTGACAGTCCTCAGAGTCACTATAATTGAAGCTTACAAGATCAGAGGCATGATAGAAAAGGCATTGAAGCACAGTTGGAAGGTGGGGTAGGAAGGGAAGGATGAAAGGGAAGGACCCTGGAGGCCCATGGTCAAGAACATGACAAGAGTCAAAGTTTTGACTCCCCATCCTCAGGTTCAGCCAGCCTGGCAAGACAAAATTCACACTGTGCCAGGTTGGCCTCCAAACCCCAAATGCTGCAGCTGCAAGGTGGGGACAAAAGTCCCACACATGCTGGTCCCTCCTCGTTATAGGGCTCTCCAACTTTGGTGTAGCAGCTGACAAGGACTTCCAATGAGTTGTAACAAATCCATCAAACATTTCTTCGTAACTTCTTCATATGTGCTCCGATTCCAACAATTCTTGGCTCGTTGGAATGTGCTCGATGTCATGCACAATCCAAGCACATCTGCACAAGCACACAAGATGACCATGCAAAGACATGCAAACCCAACAAACCATACAAACAACATAGCACACAAAACACATGCAAACGAAATGATGCGAACAGACGACAGGATGACGTGCAAATGAATATGCACCAACACACTCCCCCTCAGACTGTCGGCTTGTTTCGCCGTCTCTAGTTCAAGGACATTCCCGCCATCCTCGCACAGCGCCAGTGTGGCTCTTCAGCTAGCCGCTTGGTAAGGAAGTCGGCTGGCTGTTGCTGAGTTTTCACGTAGATCGGATCGAGTGTCCCAAGCTTCACCTCCTTCCGCAGCCAATGCCACTTGATCCTCATGTGCTTGTTCAACCCATGAAGAACTGCATTGCGTGCCATGGCAATGGCTCCCTTGCTATCACTGAACAGAGGTGTCGCACAAGTCTGTTCATGGCCGATCTCCTTCAAGAGCCTCCTTAGCCAGATGAGTTCTTCGAGCTGCTCCCCCTTCTCCGAGCTGCTCCCCCTTCTCTTCGAGGACTTCAATTCCTTTTTGACTGAGTTGAGCAGAGGCTGAATACTGTACTCCCACTGTAGGGTATGACTTGAGGTAGCGCACCACTCTTTCCGCTGCACCACACTGCTGTTCTGTTGGATTTTGCACTACTCGAGCCAGCTGTCCCACAGCAAAACTGATGTCAGGCCGAGTATGCACAGCAGCGTAGAGTAGGCTCCCGACCATGGATTGGAATTGCCTCTGGTCTTCACTCTCAACTCCTTCTCCTTCAGCTGCCTTTATGAGTTTGAACTCGGAAGGCAAAGGTGTGACCACTTCCCGTTCTTCTTGCAGAGAGTACTTCTCAGCCAAGGTGTGGATGTACTGTCCCTGATGCAGTTTGAGCCAGCCACGTTCAGTATCCCGCTCAATGTGCATTCCCAGGTAGTACCTTGCCTCTCCAAGTGACTTGCACTTGAACTGCTCTGTGAGCTTCCGCTGCACCCCATCGATCTCCTTGTTACTGCTGCTAAGAGCAGGATGTCATCCACGTACACCAGCAGAAGTACAAGTGACTCCCCCTCTCCCATCAGGAATAGGCTCTCGTCGCATGCACTCGCACGGAATCCAATCCCTTCCAGTGCACTGGCCAGCCTGTTGTACCAGCATCTCGGGGCCTGCTTCAAGCCATAGATGGCCTTGTTAAGTTTGCAGACACGACCGGTTCCATCCTCATAGCCAGGTGGTTGAACCATGTACACCTCCTCTTCCACAATGCCGTACAGAAAAGCGGTTACGATGTCCATCTGCTTCACCTTCCATTTGCGCACAGCAGCTACCGCCAGCAGCACACGTAGCGTTGGAGACTTAGCAGTTGGGGCAAACACTTCTTTGTAATCTTCCTTCTCTTTCTGCTGAAACCCCTTTGCCACCAGCCTGCTCTTGTAAACTGATGGCTCTCCTTTCTCATCCGTCTTGATTTTTGCCAGCCACTTGCACTGTATTGCCTTCTTCCCATTTGGCAAGTACACCAGGTCCCATGTGTGATTCTCCATCTGGCTGTTGTACTCTGCATCTCTTGAAACGAGCCACTTCCCCCGTTGAGGCCCGGCTAGCGCATGATCCATGCTCGGAGGTTGTATTGGTGCGTAAAAGCAGTATGCAGGCTCCTCGTCATCTGACTCTTGGTCATCACCCAAGAACAGCACTGCATCTTCGCCTTGAGCTTGTTCCTGCTGCTCAGTTGTGGCTCCTCCACTTGTGGAGCTCAACAGCTTTCTCGTTGCCATTCTGGTACGTGCAGGGTAGATGGTTGGATTTACCCATTCTTTCACCTTCACCCAATCCTTTGTCCCCCCACCAATCTGTTTCATTCGCTTTGGCAGACTTGGTGTTTTGGAAGCCTCTTGCTGCTGCTGCTCCGGATCATTGACTTCAGCATCAGCTGCAATATCCTCATTGCTTCCTTCATCAGTACCGCTTGCCGTTGGCGCAGTGACTTCGCTGTCCGCAGGTTCGGACAGATCGAAGTGCATAGTGATCTCTTCCAGCTGCTGGGTGACCCTTGCCTCCGGCTGCTTCTCCCACTTGCCATACATGATGTTCTCCACAAATTTGACATCCCGACTGTCAAACAGCACATTCTTTGAGGGCTCCCAGAGTAGCCACCCCTTGCTCTCTGCCGCAAGCCCAAGGTGCACACACCAAAGTGCAGATGCTCCAAGCTTTGTCCTGTACGGTTTAGGGACATGCGCCACTGCCATGCATCCGAACACTCGAAGCATGTCCACTGGAGGCTTCTTTCCAAGCCACCTCTCCAGCGGCACCCACATATCATCAGCCACCTTTGTGAGTACGCGGTTCCTTGCCACTGTAGCATGCCTCACCGCATGAGGCCACATGGAGTTCCCCAGCCCTGATTCGATCAGCAGCGCTCGCGCAGTTTCCAGGATGGTCCTATTAGCCCTCTCAGCAACGACATTTGACTGAGGGGTATAGGACGTCGTTAGCTGATGCTCAATGCCTTGTTTCTTGAGCCACGCAGTCAGATCTCCTCCTAGAAACTCTCCACCTCGGTCGGTTCTGATGCTCTTGCATGGGTGCCCAGATTGTCGCTCGACGAACGGCAGCCAATCATCTCGTATTGTTGAGGCAGCATGATCCTTCTGCTTCAACGGGTATGCCCACATCAGCCGACTCCAGTCATCAACTATTGTCAGGAAGTACCTTTCCCCCTTACTTCCTCGTACTGGAAAAGGTCCTACCAGGTCCATGTGCACCAGTTCCAGTGCTGCCTTGCTTTTCCCAGCTACGCCGTGAAAGGGGAACCGTGTGAACTTGCTCAGCAGACACGTCTCGCACTTGGTATCATTTGGTTGCCCAGAAAGCTTGAGCCCCTTTACTGCTTCTTCCTTATGCAGTTGCTGCAGCAATGGTATGGCCACATGCCCTAGACGCCTGTGTGCGGTTTCCCAATCAGTCTCCCCCGACCTTGCAGAAACCGTCACTCCTGCAGCACTAACTGCATTACACTCCCCCTGGACTCCAGAACCCGCCTTTACTTCTCCCAACTCCTTCTTTGTTGATTCCCATATCAGTGCAGGGATCTGCCACATGGATCTGAAGACATCTCTGCTTTCGTGTAAATCCCATAACACACGATCTCCTCGCAGCCCCTTGAATGTTTTGGATCCATTGGTGGTGGTGCTGACTCCGGCCTGGCCTAGCTTGCGCAGCGATATCAGATTGGCCTTCAGCCCCGGTACGAGTAACACGTCCTTGAGCACAACCAGTCCACCATCAGGTGCTCTGAATGCAGCTCGACCAACTCCAGCGACCTTCACTGCATGTCCGGATGCTGAGCGCACTTCAGAGATTGGAGGCGCTCGCACAGCATCCAGCAAGTCCTTGCGTGGTGTCATTGTCCATGCAGCACCAGAGTCCATGACCCACATGTCAAGCGGGTGCAATTCCTCTCCAGCCCTTGCAACAGCTGTGCCACTGTCATCTTTGTCACACACATGGTAGAACTGTCCAGCATTCCTCTCCTCATTTCCCATTCCTCTGTCATCCTTGGAGGTTTCTTCAGCAGGATCAGCTACCATGTTGGCACCTCCATGTGGTTGCTTTCCTCCATTCCCCTTCTGCGATTGGTTCCAAGGGGTCCACCAGTCGGGCTTGGTAGGGCAGCGAAACCATGGATGCCCTTCTTCCTTGCAATACCAGCACTCTCCCCTCAAGCGTGGTTCACTGTTGTCATTGTTGGAGTGACCACCTCTTCCTCTTGCACCAGCGCCACCACGCCCCCGCTGGTTCCAAGTCCCGCGACCACCTTGGCTGTGGTAAGAGCGACCGCGATTGCCACGCCCTCGATCCCTCCATGTCCCTTGCATGGCATAGCCGCTGGTGCTGTCATCACCTCCACGCAGTGTATAGCGACGAAAATCTTCTTCCAGAATCTTGGTGCGAATCCACTCCAATGTCCATTGACTTTGGTTTTGTGGCAAGCTGAGTCCGCTTATAAATTGCAGCCAAGACTCCGGCAGCAGGCTGAGCATCTTGAGACACTTTGTCTGCTCTGGGTACGTGATGCCTGCAATCGCCAATTTCGCGTAGAGTTCCCTCATCTTGTCCAGTACGGGCTGCACAGGTTCATTCTCGCTCAACCGCAGCATGGACAGCTCCCGATCCAGCATGAGAGAAGCGGCAACCGATGTCGGAGCGTGCAGGTCCTTGAGCACTGCCCATGCCTTGGGCCCACAATCAATTTCCGGTAGCAGATGCATGATGTGATGCCTCTGGTTCAGCTCCAAGCTTTGTGACAGTAGATAGTACCCAGCAGATGAACGTTCATCCCAGTCCGCTTGCTCTGCCATTTCCTTTGGCCTTGGCTCCATTCCAATCATGAGCTTCAAGAGGCCAATTTGTCGAAAGTAGAGCTGCATCTTCCATGCCCAATCATCATAGCCATCTCCAGAGAACTTCTCAATGGTGAAGTTCTTCAGCACCTCCTTAAGCAGTGACCCCTGGCTTGTACGCGCTCCCCTTTGCGCTGCAATGCCAGAATCTTGGGTTGAGCTGCCTCCTTGGACTGAAGTATCACCTCCACCAGAGTCCTCCTTATCTCCCATCGTATTTTAGGTCCCAAATGCGTGATAATAGGCTCTGATACCACTTGTTGGTTAGAGAAGGCTATAAGTAGATGATTCAGTGGCTCCTTGGAAATTTCTGCAGCACTTCGTTATGACGCCCAGAAAACTCGCGACCTTCGAATAGCTATATCCAAAACTCCAATCGGTGAAATGATCTGAAAATCGGATATGTTGTAGCTGGCAGGTCAGCTTTCCACTGAAAGTTGAATCACTCGATTCCGTAGCTAAACGAGTGAGCTATGGCGTTTGGCGCACTGGGGGGTAATCTGCCCTAGGAGAAGTTGACAGTCCTCAGAGTCACTATGATTGAAGCTTACAAGTTCAGAGACATGATGGAAAAGGCATTGAAGCACAGTTGGAAGGTGGGGTAGGAAGTGAAGGATGAAAGGGAAGGACCCTGGAGGCCCATGGTCAAGAACATGACAAGAGTCAAAGTTTTGACTCCCCATCCTCAGGTTCAGCCAGCCTGGCAAGACAAATTTCACACTGTGCCAGGTTGGCCTCCAAACCCCAAATGCTGCAGCTGCAAGGTGGGGACAAAAGTCCCACACATGCTGGTCCCTCCTCGTTATAGGGCTCTCCAGCTTTGGTGTAGCAGCTGACAAGGACTTCCAATGAGTTGTAACAAATCCATCAAACATTTCTTCGTAACTTCTTCATATGTGCTCCGATTCCAACAATTCTTGGCTCGTTGGAATGTGCTCGATGTCATGCACAATCCAAGCACATCTGCACAAGCACAAGATGAACATGCAAAGACATGCAAACCCAACAAACCATACAAACAACGTAGCACACAAAACACATGCAACGAAATGATGCGAACAGACGACAGGATGACGTGCAAACGAATATGCACCAACACAGCATCTGCATGGCAGCAGCAGCAGCTTGGCTTTGGCACCGCCGCCATGGCTGCCACAGCCACAACAGGTCCTCCTGGCTTTCCTCTCTGGGGCTCTCCTTCCCCTAGAGCTCCCACCTCCCACTCCAGCTTTCTGGATGAGCTCATGCGTTCTTCCCCTGCTTCCACTTCCATGTATCCCTCTGTTTTTAATGCCAGTGATTTCCAGTACCCCATGTCTTCAGCTCCCTCCTCGCTCACGCTAGACTTTGTTCGCGATAGTGGTGCCACTGAAACTGCCCTCAAAGACGCCGGCACCCTCACCTCCCTCCCTTTCCGCACCAACGTTCATGGTGCTGATTCCAGCTTCTCCATCCCTTGCACTCATCTCTCCACCCTCCCCTGCCCCCCCTTCCCCTCTGGAGTGGTCACTGGTCTCCACATTCCCTCCCTTCGTCATAACCTGCTCTCCATCCGTGAACTCCAACAGGCTGGCATCACTACCCTCTTCCCCGCCTCTGCCACCTACTGTGACCTCCTCCACGGCCCCACTCGTCGCCTCCTTCATCGCCTCCCACTTTGCCCTCGCTCTCGTCAGTACATCCTCAGCACACCGTGCCCCTCCTCATGCCACGTGACCACTCGTGCAGGCACCTCCACTCTCCCCCCTCCCCTCCCTCTAAAGCCACCTTCCTCCAACTCCACCTCCCCCCCATGCTCTTGTCGCGCCCTGTCCCACCCCGCTGTTCTCATCCACCATCGCCTTGGTCATATGATTTTTTCCACACTTCGTAAAGCCGTCTCCTCCCGCTTGCTTGACAGTCTTCCCTCCACTCTTCCTCCCCTCCCGTCCTCTTCCGCTCCCCCATGCGCCACATGCATTCATGGAAAGCTCAAACAACAACCTCACCTCAGTCATCCTTCCTTTGCTGCTGCCCCCCCTTGACCTCGTCCACATGGACCTCTGGGGCCCTAACCCTTCCCCTTCCCGCCAAGGGCACCGGTACATGCTTGTCCTAGTCGACGACCACAGCAGGTACTCCTCGGTGTTCCTTCTCCACACAAAGGCCGAGGCCCTTGTTGTCATCGTTACCTGGGCCGAGCAGTGCCGTGTCCACTTTGGTCGCCCCATCCGCCGCCTCCATTCCGACGGCGGTGGTGAGTTTCTCAACCGCACCGTCTCCTCCTACTGCTCAACCCATGGCATCCAGCAGACTCATACCCTTCCCCACTCCCCTCAGCAGAACGGTGTTGCTGAGAGTCGCATTCGTGAGATCACCAAGACGGCCCGCTGCCTCCTCACTCATGCCTCCACGCCCCCTTCTCTTTGGGGTTATGCCCTTGTCCATGCTGCTCTCCTCACTAATCTTTACCCACATCCTCAACGCCAGTCCGTCACTCCCACAGAGCTCTGGGCTAGCACCAAGCCAGATGCTGCCATTCTCCGTATCTGGGGTTGCAAGCATATGTCTTCATCCCCCACTTGACCGCTCTAGGAAGGCAGGAAAGCTTGCCTCCAGGGCCATTGAGTGTGTCTACCTTGGCCACGCTCGCTCTGCCCCTGGTTACCTCTTCCTTCACCCGTCCTCAGGCCGCCTCCTACAGAGCCGAGACGTGGTGTTCGATGAGAGCATCCCGTTCTATCATTCTGTTCCGCCTTCCGACCCACTTCCTCCTCTCTCCCATTCCCCCACTCCTTCCCCAGGCTCCCCTCCTTCCTCCAAATCCTGCTCCTCCCCCTCCTCCTTCCTCAGGTGACATTTACGACCCAGCTGTCCCTGACTCCCCTGCTCACTCTGCCTCATCGCACCAGCACCAGCAGCAGCAGCAGCAGCAGCAGCAGCAGCAGCAGGTGCAGCAGCAGGAGCGGATGGAGCAGCAGCGGCAGCAGCAGCAGCAGCAGCAGCAGCAGGAGATGCAGCAGCAGCAGCGGATGGAGCAGCAGCAGCAGCAGCAGCAGGAGATGCAGCAGCAGCAGCGGATGGAGCAGCAGCAGCAGCAGCAACCGCAGGCAATGCAGCAACAGCAGCTGCAGCAGGAGGTGCAGCAGCAGCAGCAGCGGCAGCAACCACAGCAGCAACCTCATCGGCATCGCTGCACCACCTCTCCGTTCATCCTCCCACGCATCCACACTCGCTCTCATGGCCCACTCATAGGCCATCCATGGGGTTGGCCAACGCCACCCCCACCTTCCCTTCCCTTCATCGAGGACTCCCATGAGGAGCTCATTGGCGTTCAGCAACAAACACCTTCCCTCACGCCTCTCTATCCAGGCTTCCTTGGGCTCCTCATCCTTGGCATCGCTACCGCTCCCACCATATTCACCCCGTCCAACTTCCTTGAGGCCATCACCTGCCCCGATGCTGCCAAATGGATCCAGGCTATCTTTACTGAATGCGAGGCCTTCATCCGCAATGCCTCATTCATTGAAATTGTCCCCTCTTCTAACGACGTCATTGTTGAAGGCCTGTGGGTGTTCCGAGTGAAGCAGTTGCCGGGTGAGGAGCCGGTCTACAAGGCCCGGTATTGTGCCAAGGACTTCACCCAGACCCATGGCATCGTCTCCTGAGAGACATTCTCTCCCACCGCCAAGCTCCCAACTCTCCGTGCCATCCTCGACTATGCTGTTCGCATTGGCATGGAGATTGCCTCGATGGATGTCTCCAACGCCTTCCTGCAAGGCGAGCTCCAGGAGCGGGTCCTCTTGCGGCGGCCTCCAGGCTTTCATGCAGCCTTCCCTCCCAACACAGTCTGGGAGCTGCGCCGCCCGGTTTATGGCCTCAAGCAGGCTCCTCGCGAGTGGCCACAACAAGCTGGCCGCCACTCTGCAGTCCCTGGGGTTCCATGCCTCTCAGTCTGATGCCAGCCTTTTCCTTTGCTCCTCTCCCACCCGCTTCTTCAGCTTCCACACTGTGTTGGCAGGGTAAGTGCCAGGAAACCCCGGTGGGCGTTCCATGTGAAAATCCTCCTTGAGCTGACCTTGAAGAAAGGCGGAGGAGGCGTCCATGGACTTGATCTTGAAGTTGCCGTGAGCGGCTATATCAAGAAGAGTGCGCACAGTCGGGAGCTTGGCCGTGGGCGAGAAGGTTTCGAAGAAGTCGAGATACTCCTTCTGGGTGAAACCCTTCGCCATGTATCGTGCCTTGAACAGTGGAGCTTCGCCTGGGAGTTGTTTGACTCGGAAGATCCATTTTCCGCTGATGATGTTGACACCGGAAGGGGGAACAACATCGTCAAAGCAGTTGTTGCGAATGAACGCCTCGTTCTCCACATCCATTGCTGCCTTCCACTCCTTCTTATAAGGCCCCGAAAGAGCTTCCTCTTTTGTGCGAGGAATCGGAATGGTCTGGTTCTCGGTGAAGTTGAGGGAAGGGCAGTCAGTAATGTCCGGGAAGATGTGAGAGAGAAATTGGCAGACCGCGTGAAGGTCAAACAGCTCCTCATGCCTGTCCTCGAGAAGTGCACGGGGGGGAATACGGATGGAGGGGACATCACCCCCGGCAGGAGGAGGCGGGGTGACCGAACACCGGATGGAGAAGGCGGCTGGTCCCCAGGCGAGAGGCGGAGCCGGTCCCTTGGAATGAGTGCGACTAGAGACCGGAGACGAAGGCGGCTGCGGTGGGACCAGAGGGGACTGGTCGCCTCCGGTAGGAGACTGGTGAGCCGGGCTCGACGCGCGAGGAAGGCGGAGCAGGAGGAGGTGCCGCTGCGGAGGATACTGGGGAGGCCGGGTGAGACACGCCGGACGGAGAAGGCCCCGAGAAGGGGCAGCGGCCGGAGGTGGGGCATCGAATTCTGCCCACACAAGCGTCGGGGGAGGTGGAGGAGGCTCGCCCGTGGTCGCAGAGTGGAATGGGCGTGTCTGATCGAAGACGACATCACGGCTGCGAATCAGCTGTTTGGTGATTAAGTTGAAGAATAAGTAGTCTGGGGAGTCGGAGTTGTGCCCCAGGTACATGCAGGTCTGGGTTTTGGGACCAAGCTTGCCACCTTGCTTCCTGCGCGTATGGGGGCTTAGCAATACATACGCGGTACACCCCCAGACGCGTAGAGAGCGGGCGGAAGGCGTGACCCCAAGCCAGAGAGCGGTAGGTGTGGTGTCGGGCCGGTGGGGATGCGGATAAAGATTGTAGAGGAGTGCCGCATGGAAGAGGGCATATCCCCAGAGTGACCGTGGTGCGTTGGCGTGACTGAGGAGGCAGCGAGCGATCTGAACCAAGGTGTGGTTGCGGCTCTCTGCAATGCCGTTCTGCTGTGGGCTTTCGGGGAGCGTGAAGGTTTGCCGAATCCCTTAGGCCGCACAGAAGTCATCGAGTTTGCCATTGCAAAATTCTTCCCCGCCATCAGAATGGAGGCACTTCAGAGGAGTGCCGAACGTGACTTGAGCCTGGCGCACCCCCGCCATGATGACATCAGGTGCCTCCGCCTTGGTATGCAGGAGGTGCACAGAAACATACCGCGAGTGGTCATCGACTAGTGTAAGAAAGTACCGATGACCGCCTCGGGATGCGACTGGAGCTGGGCCCCAGACATCCATTTGCACTAGGTCCAGCGGAGCAGCTGCGACGGATGGGGAGGAAGGGTGCGGCTGCTGCCTGAGCTTGCTCTTGGTGCAGTCCAGGCAGGTGGGTGCAGGTGAGTCTATTGGTGGAGGAAGCGCCGACAGGAGGCCAAGAAGAAGTTTCTTGGAAGTGATGTCGGCAAGTGTACGGAAGTTGGGGTGGCCCAAGCGATGGTGGTAGAGGATGGTTGCGTTGGCGAAGCTGCGACACGAACATGGAGTGGTGCTGGCAGCTTGCGCTTCGGAGAGAGCGGCGAGAGGTGCAGGTGAACGCAGCGTGTAGAGCTTGCTACTGTTGAGTGTGAAGCGTGCTAGGAGCTTGTTGGACTTAGGTTCGAAGAGGTCACAGTGATCGGAGTGTGCTGGGAAGATCGTAGTGACGCCTGCCCCTTGGAGCTCGTGTTGGGCCACGAGATTGTGGCGTAGTGTGGGAACACACATGGGGACACAGGGACACGGGGGGAAGCGGTTGTGCTGGAATGGCACCGAAGTGGCATAGGCTTGAGGCACGGGAGCGCGGATTGCATTGGCCTTGGCTTGAGCGCTGTTGTCCTTTTTGGCAGAAAGGAGCGCGGATGAGACCTTGGCAAATGTGAGGTCTGCAGGAGCAAGGCCCAAGAGCATCTTCCGTGTGACTTTGTATGCCGGAGTGAGGCCGACTAGGAGAGCGGCTGCAGGGGCTTGCTCGGGGAAGACTATCCCCAACTGTTTGAGTTCACCATGAATGGACTGCACCTTGGTGACATAGTCCGTCATGCCTGGCGAGTCCTCGAGCCGCACTTGGAACATGCAGGGGATGAGTATAGCAACTCCCACTGCAGTCTTGTTCAGGAAGCGATCTTCGAGGTAGAGCCAAATGGCGTTGGCAGACGGGTAGTTGTGGTAGGTTTCGACAAGTTCGGGAGGAGTGGTGCCCATGAAGACACTAATGACCGCACCATCGGCCTTCTCCCAATTCTTGTACTTGAGAAGTGCAGCAGTATAAACTGGTTGAGTAAGCCATTGTTGGTGGGAGGCTCTTTGCCGTCACCGATGTTGAGAAGGACGTCGGTGAGCTCGAGCCTTTTCACCTCGCGACTGAGGAGGTGCTTGTCGACACCATAGCGCCAAGCCTTGTAGTTGGAGCATGTGCCGTCCGGCTCGAGACGAAGGAGCGGGATCGGGTTGGCGAGTGAAGTGGTTGAGTAAGCCATTGTCGGTGTGCAGCGCGGCACTTCTTGAAATTGGTCGACGAGAATTGCTGAAAATCACTCTGACGGCTTTATCAAAATGCCGCTAAGTAGGAAATGGCGTCGGCGAAAATTTGTTAAAACGCCGACTTGAGACTGAATCTGAGCCTATGTCTAACCTCGGACCCACACACCCCCCCACACACCCCCAGGCCCTGTCCCGCAGCTACACAGCTCCGCAACCAGCTCCGCTCCGCTTCAACCTGTGTACCTGCTCTTGCTTGACGCGAGACGTTCGTGGAGGCGATTTCGCGAGGGGAGTTCGCCTATTCTGGCGGGCTCTGAGGGGAAACTCGAGAACGAGTTTTAAGAGATGGTCGAAATTGAGATTCGACCAAGGAGAACCGAGGAGGAAATCGACGATGAGAAGCGTGAACGCTTCAGCGATGAGAAATTCAACGAGGTCGAGCGCGAAGGCGGTCTACGATGAGAGGCGCGACTGCAGAGTGGAGCACGTTGAATTTCCGACGACTTGAAACGAATGTCGCGATAATGAAATGCGCGTAGCGCGGGCACGTTAAGATTAGGAGCTTGATCCGCATGTGCGGATTGGTCGCTCTGATACCATGTAAGAAATAGAGTTGAAATGATTGATTAGGTAAGGAGCCCTAGGCTCTATAAGTACATGGCAAGGTAAAGGAGAATGGATGAAGGGGGAATTGGAGGGAATCCCCATTGGGATTTCCGGAATCTCCAATTGGGTAATTGGAGTTGGGGGGATCACAATTGGGTGAGGTTGGGATTTGTGAGTACACCCCAATCCACTAGAACATTCATAACCTAAAACTAGGATATAAAAGTACAAATACAAAAGTTGTATTTGCAGTCTATTTCTAAGAATTCCACCTCCCACTCTCTCATTCCGCCTTATCCTCCCTCGTGCCGCCTTTGTCTATCTCACTCGGCCTTCTCCCCTCTGATTCGGACTTCTCGCCACTCATTTCTTTTCCCCTTGTCTTGGCTCCCCCTCTCTCATTCCAATTTCCCCTCCCTCTCATCCGGACCTCCCCTCCCTCTCTTTCCCATTTCCCCTCCCTCTCATTCGGACCTCCCCTCCCTCTCATTCCGATTTCCCCTTCCTCTCATTCCGACTTCCCCTCATTCATTCCGATTTCCCCTCCCTCTCAGTAGAACTTCCCCTCCCTCTCATTCCGAGTTCCCCTCATTTCAATCTGATTTCCACTCTCCGATTCCACCTCCCCCCTCTCAATCCACCTCCCCCCACTATTTCCGCATTCCTCCTCTATATCCGCACTCCCCCGTGCGGATTCCACATTTCTCTCCTCATTCCCCTATTTCCCCTCCAGTGCCGCATTTCCCCGCTCTTCCCACATTTCTCCTCTTGTGCCGCATTTCGCCGCACCTTACTCGCATTTTCCCTATCATTTCGCATTTCCCTTCTCGTTCTGCATTTACCATCTCACTCCGCATTTCACAAGCTATGCCGCCGTCACTACCAAAGTAGAGGCCTGCAGAAATGGTTGCCACTCGCACCGCCCTGTTTCTGTACGAGCTACAGTGGTGGCCTCGCTGGCAATCTGGCTTGTGGTTTTCACATCCCAAAAATTTGGGTGGCAAAATGATACCCCCAAGACTGCCGCAAGTAACCTAAGGGCCTCGCCCAGGGGGTAACCCTGGGGCTTCCGACTGGGTGACCTCGGGGAAATCGACTGTCCAAATGCCTTTCGTTGTGACCCGTGGGAAACCCACGATGTCACACCTTTCCGAAACCTTTGGGTTACCCTCAAGTGACATCAGGGCTAGGTGGGGGGAACGTGAGGGCATCATTTTTCCGAGGCGCGTCCTTAATACATGCCACTCGATACGCGTACAGTAACTTATAAAACACCTGAAAAGTAATAATATGCTCTCATACATAAATTATATTGGTTAATCCCATTCGCGTTCTTCTCCAATGCTCATTCGCCAATAGCAAAACCGACAGAGTTTACAGGTTTACAGCCAACAAATATTGATAATACATACACTATTTTAGTCAACAGATTTACAGCATTTCAGTGTTCAATTTTCCTACCTGTTATTGATAATACATACACCTCAAATATTTCAGACTGGAACGAATGGTTCGTA